TCCAAACACATGATTCCTCCACCCACATCCAAACAGTAACCTGGCACTCATTCAGTGCCTGGTTTTGCTGGTCATCTTTTTTAGGTATATAAACCTTACCCCAATCCAGGACAGCAATTCATCTATGTACTCTATCAGGTCAGCAAACTTTTTCTGTAAAGTGTAAGAATAGTGAATATCTTAAGACTTTGTGGGCCTACCAGTCTTGGTCACAACTACTCAACTCCCATTGCAGAACAAACAAGCACAGAATGTAAAGTCACGGGGCATGACTGTGTTTCAAAACTTCATTTATAAACGCTAAAATCTGAATTTCACATAACTTTCACCTGTCATGAAATCATATTCTTATGATTTTCCCAAACCATTTAAAAAAGTGAAAGTCATTTTTAGCTTGCAGGCCATTAAAAAAAAAAAAAAACTGGCAGCAGGCCATGATTGGCCCTCAAGCATAGTTTGCCACCCCCTATGATGTTATCAAAATTCTTTGTGACTGACAAAAAATGTCATCTTTCCTGCAACTACTCCTTAAATATTTGTTTTACCAATGTGGGGACAGGTCCTGATTACGTTCCTTTAGTTAATATTAACATCTTGTATTTAACATGGCAAAATACCTCTATGATTGATAAGCAAGCCATCCCAATGTTCAAATAGAAACTGCTGGCCCCTGATGAGAAGACAGATTAAATGCAACATGAGGCTGTCATCATGCTGTTGGTGTCTGCCATTGTCATATGCTTGTATAAAAGGAATACAGCGAGTTATCCTGAGGATACACATACAAAGAAGGAGCATAAGGATTAGGGTTGAGAGTCTTAATTTAAAAATCAAATGTGTTTTTATTTAAAGAATCCAGTCTATAATTTTATTCAACTTCCAAAACTCTGCAAATAAGATTTTCCTTTTTCATCCATATATATATGGTACTTAGAACAGACGAACAAATCTAGACTTCATTACATTTTGTAAAACGTTTTCACTGATTCTGAAAGGGCAGTGCCCTAAGACATGCTCTCTGAAAAACTTCCAGCCCACAATTAAAAGCATTTAACATATGGCTCCTGGGTGGCTCGGTCCGTTGTGTCCAACTCTTGATTTTGTCTCAGGTCGTGATCTTGGGGTACTGGGATCGAGCCCCAAGTTGCACTCCCTGCTCAGCAGGGAGTCTACTTGAGATTCTCTCCCTCTGCCCAACCCCCACCACGTGTGCACATGTGCGTGCATTCTCTCTAAAATAAATAAATAAATCTTAAAAAAAAAAAATTGGAAAGCCCAGGTGGCTCAGTCAGTTAAGCCACTGTCTTTGGCTCAGGTCATGATCCCAGGGCCCTGGCATTGGTCATACTGGGCTCCCTCTGCCCCCTACTCATGCTCTCTCTCACTCTCTCTCTCAAATAAATAAATGTAATCTTAAAAAAAAACTTAACACATTATCTCAGCTTTACCAAACAAATAATATTTTTTTTTGGTCTAGAATGTCATTTTATTCATAAAGTAACATAAAACTTTCCAGTCTTCACTTTAAGATTAAAAATGAAGACATGTCATTTCAGATAAGGCTAAAAATTTTCCAGAAAGAAAATATGTATGAATGTTGCAGCAGCACTTAAGATGTATCACAGGTTAACAAAGAAAAAGCAGAAGTAGCACATGAAATAAACTTCTATATTCACTTCAGTTTTTTAAAGACACTAGAAAATAGTTTGCTTTTTAAAAAAGATTTTATTTATTTGAGAGAGAGAGAGAAAGAGCATGAGTGGGGGAGGGGGCCGAGGGAGAAGCAGATTCCCCACTGAGCAGGGAGCCTGCCTGGAGATGGGGGCGGGGGGAGCAATCCCAGGACCTGGAGATCATGACCTGAACCAAAGGCAGCCCCTTAACTGAGCCACCCAGCACCCCTAAAAATAGTTTGTTTTTTTTTTAAGATGTTATTTATTTATTCATGAGAGACACAGAGAGAGAGACAGAGACAGGCAGAGGGAGAAGTAGGCTCCATGCAGGGAGCCTGACGTGGGCCTTGATCCCAGAATCCCGGAATCACGACCTGAGCCAAAGGCCAACACTCAACCACTGAGCCACCCACATGCCCCAGTTTTTTTTTTTTTTTAATCTCAAAAATATTTCTGTAAGAGTCTTTTCAACCACAATAAAATCTTTCAAGTCTTAAAAGCTGGAGGTACAAGTCAATGGCTAAGCCTTAAGAAGAAAAAAAACTCAGCATCCAGGTCTCCATCAACCAAACAGGTTAAGCTAAAGCTCAAGAGGAATAATCCCAGAAAAAAATATTTTCTCCTTACTCCTCTCAACCAGAATAAACTCTATGCTTCCAGATTGATCATATTTATGGTTCTGGTTTACTTATCACTGCCAACACTTACCCCAGTAGTTAAGTATTCAACTTAGATACTGGACATGTTTTATATTTTTTCAATGAAAATATCTCATTGGGGATCCCTGGATGGCTCAGCGGTTCAGCGCCTGCTTCGGCCCAGGGCATGGTCCTGGAGTCCCGGGATCGAGTCCCACGTCAGGGCTCCCTGCATGGAGCCTGCTTCTCCCTCCGCCTGTGTCTCTGCCCCTCGCTCTCTCTCTCTCTGTTTCTCATGAATAAATAAAATATTTTTTAAAAATCTCATAAATTTGCAACTCCTCCCGTTTCATTTCCCCCTACTTACATCTTTAAAATCATGCTTTTAGGGGAGTTTCTCTCATCCTCAGTTGTCTAAACCCTACTGTGCCTCTACTTCACACTCTGGGTGCACAGGCACAGAAATGATGGTGCCAAAGACAAAAAAGGATGTTAATCCACCAAGGAAGAAGAATCTTCTTAAGATCACCAATTATGAACCAGGTGTTTCATGTATGTTGGTGTGTAATCCTCTCATCTAATCTCATCTCATCCTATATGGTGTTATCCCAATTTTTCAGGAAAGAAAGTAGCCTCTGAAAGATTAAAGAGCCTGCCTAAGGACCAGAGTAACCAAACACCCCAGTTCACCTACGACTGAGGGGTTCCTGGGACGTGGGACTTCCGGGTTTAAAACTGAGACAGTCTTGGGCAAAACTGGTCACCCACCTAGGGACACATTGCCCATATCCTCACCCTTCCATCGGTTCAGATTCAAGCTAAATCTGCTGGACTCCGGAGCTCACGCCCTTCCTCCTGGGTCTCCTGCCTTCCCCACACTCATTTCCTTCTCAAACCCCAGAAGCCTCATTATGTGCTTCACACCCTCAGGATTCTGGGCCTCCCCTAATTCTAATGAAAAAGATTCCGGAAAAAAAAAAAAAAAAGATTCCGTTCTCTTCTTATTCTGTCTTTTCTGTTGTAATATACACAGATGTTTCTTAACTCCCTGATACAGTGTTCCCAAAGCACCACCACACTGGCAGCCTGGATGGAATAATAAAAAATTAAAACCTAAAAGGCACAAGGGCCTGTAGAACTAGATGAACATCCTAATATAAAGCAAAAAAGTAGGGGCGCCTGAAGGGCTCAGTGGTTGAGCACCTGCCTTTGGCTCAGGTCGATCCCGGGATCGAGTCCCACGTCGGGCTCCCTGCATGGAGCTTGCTTCTCCCTCTGCCTCTCTGTCTCTCTCTCTCTCTGAGTCTCTCATGAATAAATAAATAAAATCTTAAAAACAAACAAAAAAAAAAACAAAACAAAACATGGAGGACGCCCGGGTGGCTCAGCGGCTGAGCACCTGCCTTCAGCCCGGGGCCTGGTCCTGGAGACCCGGGATCGAGTCCCACGTCGGGCTCCCGGTGCATGGAGCCTGCTTCTCCGTCCGCCTGTGTCTCTCAAGAATAAATACATAAAATCTCTAAAACCCACAAAGCAGACAGTAAACGGTAAAGGAGGCGTTTCCTGGGGCCTGTGTGTCCCGGGGACGTGGAGTCAGCCGGGGCCGCGGGCCAGCGGGGTCCGGAGTGAAGGGGCGCGTCTGAGGTTCACACGGGCGGAGCTGCCGGCCCGTCACCCTCCTCGCTCCCGCCCTCGGAGCTCTGGCCTGGCCTGGGGCCTGGGGCCTCCTGCCTCCTCCTCCAGGACGCGAGCCCCCAGGGAAGAATCAGGGACCGGGAGGCGGTGGCTAAGAAGACGCTTTCTGGAGAAGCGAGCGGGAACCACGACGGATACAGCGGTTCCGCCCGAAGACAGATTTTTCTGGACACCTCCGTGTCCTACAGAAACGTGAACACCTGCGCGCAAGGGCGCACCCAACTGCTTCCTCGAAGGCGCCGGCGTCTCTTACACGTTTCCCGCCTGAGGACCTCCAGGCTCCTCCTCCGGCCTTGGTTCGCGGCCTCCCGACGGCGGAGACGCTGCCAGCGAGCGCGGCCCCGGCCACCGGCCACCGCGCCCGCAGCCGCCGCGCCCTTCGCAAGCCACGAGCGGCATTTAAGAAGTTAACAGGATCAACGTCGCCCGAGTAAACCGCGGGTGCGGAGAGTTTGCAGGGCTCGCCTTGCTCCGCCGCCCCGCGCAGATCCTTCCAATCTGCACCCGCAGCCTCCGCCTGGGCTTCAGGGAAGGGAACCCGGGCGAGGCGCCACCGCGGGCGGCCCCACACCCGCCCACCTTGATGCGCCCCCCGTGCGGCGGGGACCCGGACCCCGGGCGGGCCCCTCCGCCCACCTTGACCCGGACCCCGGGCATCACCCTCCACCCCCCTCACCTTGACCCGGCCCCCCCCGGCAGCCCCCCCGCCCCCCCACCTTGACCCGGCAGCCCCCCCACCCTGACTCGGCCCCCCCGGCAGCCTCCCCGCCCCCCCACCTTGACCCGGCCCCCCGGCAGCCCCCCCGCCCCCCCACCTTGACCCGGCCCCCCGGCAGCCCCCCCGCCCTCCCCACCTTGACCCGGCCGCCCCCCCCACCTTGACCCGGCCGCCCGCCCCACCTTGACCCGGCCGCCCGCCCCACCTTGACCCGGCAGCCCCCCCCCCACCTTGACCCGGCCCCCGGGCATCACCCCCCCCCCCGCCCCCGCTCACCTTGATGCGCTCCCCGTCGATCTCCACGGCTCGTTCTCGGAAATCCACCCCGATAGTAGCCTCCGTGCGGTCGGGGAAACGGCCGGCGCAGAAGCGGTAGGTCAGGCACGTCTTGCCCACGTTGGAGTCGCCGATCACGATGATCTTGAAGATGCGGGAGCGAGCCGGCGGCAGGAACCCCGCGGCCCCCGACACCGCGCCGCTGGACGACAAGCTCGCCTCCAGGGACGACTCCATCTCCGAGGCCGTTCCCCGGACCCGCCCCGACCCGAGGCGGCGGAGGAGCGGACACGCGCACACGCCCCGATGACGCCACCGCCAGGCGCGCGCCCTGCCCGCCCGCCCCGCTGCGCCACGGCGCCCGGGCCCCGCCCCCTCAGCGGCAGCGCGCCTGCGCACCGCACCACCCCGCCCCCTCAGCGGCAGCGCGCCTGCGCACCGCCCGGTCCCGCACCCCTCAGCGGCAGCGCGCCTGCGCACCGCACCACCCCGCCCCGCCCCGCGGGGGTGTGGCGCCCACTGGCCTCGCCGTGCTGCTCCTCGCGCCCGCACCCGGCCCCGCCGCCCGCCGTCCGCCGCCCGGGGCTGCCTGGAAGGGCACGGGCGCTGCTGGGGGCTGGACGGCGGGTGCACAGGGCCGACCCGGCCCCCAGGCTGGCCCGGCCTCGCCACGTCCACGGGTCCCGCCCCCGCCGGAGGAGGCCGCGCAGTCGCTCTGGGGGCGCGGAGGGGAGGAGGGACCGCCCGCAGTCTCTCGCGAGAGGGCCGAAGAGCGGGCGGGGGCGGGGCCGCTAGAGGCTCGGGGGCGGGGCTTAGGGCGGGGGCGGGGCCGCAGGAGGCTCGGGGGCGAGGCCTCAAGAGGCGGGGCGGGCTGCGGGGTTGCGCTCGGCCTCCGGGCCCCTGAACGGCGTCGGGACGCCGCAGGAGGCGAGCGTCGGGCCTGGCGGACCCGGGCAGTCCCCGGGCTCGGGCTCGGCCGGCGCTTGCTTGTCGGGGAGCAGGTGGGGGCTGGAGGCCGCCTCCCGCCTCGGCCACGGGAGGGACCCAGGTGCCCGGGGTCCGTCCGGCCACAGCCGCACGTGACACCTGGGCCACTTGGGGCCGTTGAACCAGGTGGTTACCGGGCGGCCTCCCTGCAGAAAATAAAACCCATCGTGCCCTGGTTACGCCTTGGCCGGGCGATGGGGTGGATATGACTGCGTCTCTTCTGTCTGAGCCCGTGTTGATGCTGCTGGTGAAGTCAAGGGCTAGGAAAGGAGAACGTGGCCGGCGTTTAAGTGAGGGGACCAGTGGGGCACTAACCGTTCAGGAAAGGAGATGAGCTGCGGAGAGAAAGTGCATTAGGTAAAATGCTTATTCCATTAGGTAAAATGCAGATGGAGTCGGGGGCACGTGCCCGACTGAGTCGTGGCTCAGTTGGTTAAGTGTCTGCCTTTGGCCCAGGTCATGGACTCAGGGCCCTGGGATCCAGCCCCATGCTTCTCCCTCTCCCTCTGCCGCCCCCCTTGCTTGTCTGCTCGCTGTCAAATAAATAAAACCCTTTAGGGCCCCTGGGGGGCTCAGCGGTTGAGCATCTGCCTTCGGCCCAGGCCGTAACCCGGGGGTGACTGGATCAAGTCCCGCATCGGGCTCCCTGCATGGAGCCTGCGTCTGCCTCTGTCTGGGTCTTTGCCTCTCTGTGTGTGTGTCTCATGAATAAAATCCTTGAAAAATGTGTAAATGAAATCTTTTTTTTAAAAATGAAAACGTTAAAGAAAAAAAATGTAGTCAGAGGAAATTAGCTGTAGAACCCGAGGGTGCCCAGAATTAACAGGAATTTGTGATAGCCTTAATATACAGCCTCTGTTGTGGTACAGAAACTATACAGTCATTAATATACCAAGTGATGTTAATCAGGAAAAAAGTTTACTCACCTGGTTGAATGTGTGTGACAATTCCATTGATTGGGTATCCTGTTAGAGAAACTAGAACACTGTGTGTCTGTGAGGTCGTTTCTATGAAGACTGACCGTCCCAGGTACTATTAGAGGGCCTTGGAGTGTGTTCCTCTAGTTTACTCTGCCTATCCCATTCAAAGGACGGAAGTTGAAGACTTAGAACAAAAACCAGTTGAAGAATTCAAAGCTCTGCATAATCAAGTAATTGGAAAGGATGAGTAGGGGAAAAAAAAAAAAAAAGATTCGGCATCTTTCTATCCTAAGAGCCTTGCTCTTTTGTATTCTAGCTTTTTCAGTTTTGCTCTTACTAAACTACCAGAAATTAGTTTTCTTGTGTTTATCCGAATCCTGTTCATGAAACTTTTCTTGATTACTTCAGAATGCTCTTTGCTTTATCCTAAAACTAATAACACTTTTTGGGGTATTGCTTATTTGGCCTTTGGATACTATTACCTTCACTGTTTAAGTTTCATAATGATGTGTTGTCTCCTACTAGCCAGATTGTCAGCTCTTGACTACTGATGGAAAGCTCATTGTTTTTCAGCAAACTAATAAATTAATGAAATGAGAAATTTCTCTCACTGAAGTTTGTCAGTTTGAACCCTTTACTAATTATACACACTTCAGCACAATTTAAATAGAAGAAATACTTCACAGACACTTGACACTGTTATGCAGAGTTTTGTATTTTCAGCTTGCAGTTTGAGAAACTGTGTGTGACCAACGTATATGCCACTCTTCTTAACTGAATAATCCCAGAACCTCCGGGTTGGATATTTGGAGATTCTACTGTTGTGAAGAATGGATGGATCACGCAACCCTATTTTCTGAGAATTCATTTTGTCCTTGGAATTCTTCACTACTTGCTGTCACTACCACTTGACCTCAAAGTATAAGCATGTAACTTTTTTTTTTTGTAACTTTTTCTTAATACTTTGCAACATAGCTGAGAAGAGACTAAATTTGAATTTTTAGCAACACAACTTAAACTGGAACATAAGAAATGGTTTAGGGTACGTATTTAGATTTATAGATTTATAATTTAGAGTATTTGGATATATATTTTAAAATACTTTAAGATTTTATTTGTTTATTCATGAGAGAGAGAGAGAGAGAGGCAGAGCCACAGACACAGGCAGAGGGAGAAGCAGGCTCCACGCAGGGAGCCCAATGTGGGATTCAATCCTGGGTCCCCAGGATTAGGCCCTGGGCCAAAAGCAGTGCTAAACTGCTGAGCCACCTGGGCTGCCCTAAAATACTTTTCTAATAGGAAAAAAAAGAATATTAGAAATATGAGTAATTTTATGTACAAAATATAATTACTTATTTTCAGCTTTTGTTTGCTGCAGAGATGCCACCTCCCTGTGGCAGAGGTCATTTTTTAAATGATCTTACCAAAGAACAGCTCCCAGGCAATTTCACACATAAATTCAGGACTGAGGACAAGAGGACAAAGGAAGAGTTCTCTTGCTTGCCTAGATAAAGGTTTCTCAATCTTGGCCCTGATGACATCTTGAGCCAGATAATTCTTTGTTGTGGGAAGCCGACCTGTGCACTGTAGGATGTTTAGCAGCATCCCTGGCTACCACCAAATATATGCCAGTAGTATTCCACTCCTGGTTGTAACAACCTAAACCCTCTCTAGACATTACCAAATGCCCCTGAGAGGCAAATGTATGCTCCCTCCCTGTTCTCATTGAAAGCCACTGGCCTCTATCAGGACGCTTCTCACAGTTCTGGTTACCTGTCCATCCCAGGTGATAGTAAGAGTCCCCTCTCCCTTAAAGCAGAACTCTTCATTCCCCCAGAGAAGTACAGCATTGGTCTTACTGGCCTCCACCAGATTACCATATCACTGTGTTTAATAGTAACCCCAAATATTATAAAAGAGATAAAGAGTAGAGTTTTACTTTAGTACCTAAACAGTAAATTACCATTATCATTTTATAGGTTAGCTTACTGAGTTTGAGAATTAAATCCAGAAATACAAAACAGATCAAAAAAGGAAACAGCTGGTTATTTGAAATGATCAATGAAATAAATATGGCAAAATAAAAATAGCAAAGATTTTTACATCAGAGAGAAGATGTTAAGAATGAAAAAGGAGGATTATCTGGGTGGCTCAGTCGTTGAGCGTCTGCCTTTGGCTCAGGTTGTGGTCCCAGGATCCTGGGATCAAGTCCCACATCCGGCTCCCTACAGGGAGCCTGCTTCTCGCTCTGCCTACATTTCTGCCTCTTTCTCTCTATCTCTCATGAATAAATAAATAAAATCTTAAAAAAAAGAATGAGAAAATATGGGGCACCTGGGTGGCTCATTCAGTTGGGTGTCGCCTTCAACTCAGGTCATGATCCTGGGACCCTGGGATTGAGTCCTGCATGGGGCTCCTTGCTCTGTGGGGAGCCTGCTTCTCCCTCTCCCTCTTCCTGCCATTCCCCCTGCTTGTGTGCGTGCTCTGTCTCTCTCTCAAATAAATAAATAAAACCTTTAAAAAAAAATGAAAAGGGAGTTAACTCAGAGTCAAAGGGATTTTTTTTAAACTAAGCTCTAGGGGATCCCTGGGTGGCTCAGCGGTTTGGTGCCTGCCTTTGGCCCAGGGCGCAATCCTGGAGTCCTGGGATCGAGTCCCACATCAGGCTCCTGGCATGGAGCCTGCTTCTCCTTCCTCCTCTCTCTCTCTCTCCCATAAATAAATAAATAAATAAATAAATAAATAAATAAATAAACAAACAAACAAACAAACTAAGCTCTACATCCACTGTGAGGCTTGAACTCATGACCCAGAGATCAAGAGTCACATGCTCTACTGACTGAGCCAGCCAGGCGCCCTCAAAGAGATATTTTTTTAAGATTTTATCTTTTTATTTGAGAGAGCAGAGAAAGGAGGAGGGACAGAGGGAGAGGAAGAAGCCGACTCCCAAATGAGCAGGGAGCCCAACACCAGGCTCGATCCCAGGACCCTAGGATCATGAGCTGAAGGCAAAGTTTAACCAAACGTTTATCCAGGCACCCTGGGGAATTTCAAATATAAGAGAATATTATGTATAATTCCATGTGTTCATAAAAATATTTTATTGAGCACCTACCACATGAAAAACAGGCACTATATGAGTTGCTAAAGATAATGTGGTTAACAAAAAGACCCAGTTTATGGAATTTGTTTAACAGAATACTAGAGATAAAGGGGGTTGGTTACCTCTAACCCCTACATTGTTCAAGCTTCCACTATATATCTTATATGTGTTGTAGTATGATATTACTTGAAGGTAAACTGTAAGTTAAAGATTCATATGGTAAAACTTAGAACAGGTACAATAATAAAACACAGAAGTATAGCTAAGCAGCCAACAGAGAAACTAAAATGGAATACTACAAACTAGTTCAAAAGAA